TTCGGAGATAACCTCGGCCTAGCTGAGATCACCTCGGCATCATAATCTGGACACGTGGCACCTCGGCTGACACGTTGGCGTCACCTTGGCCATGTGTTAGGAACTCAGAAAAATATATCCCCATAGGTATCATTCTAAAATGAAAAAGAGAGGGACATTTCATAATCCCGCCTTGGGAAGCGGTTTTGGCAGAGTTGGAGGAGGTCCGAGCGTGTTTGGACCAAGCTAGTCCAGGTCGTGCTGGGGGATGTTTGCTTGGTTGAAGTCCAGACCCTATTCGGCCGAGATGATTCTTTGTTAGCCCAGTCTCCATTGGTCGCACGTTCAGCTCAGCGAGTAAGGTCCTCCGCGGATCGGGCCAACCGAGTGTGAGTTCGGCCATAGCGGAGGGCTACTAATCTCGGTCGTAATGGAGCCCAGCGAGGAACATTGTTCGTCTCATGTAGTAATACGGTCGCAAGACGCTGGGTTAGGGTCGCTGGGCTGCCTGTTCGTGCCAACGCCATTTGGCGGTTCGATTAGGTGGTGTTTAGCTAGATTTGCACTGACACGTGGGGAAATGGGATAGAAAAGCAGGTCCACACGTCAGATGGTGAATGGATGCAGAGGCAAGCGCAGAAGGTATATCAGCATGACTGCGCCCCCCATGCTGAGGATAGAGACATCAATTGGTGAGAGAAACTCTTACACTCAACTCTTTTCTCTCTTTCTCTCTCTCTCTCTCTCTCTCTGAGTGTGTGCTAACTTGACTGTCATAGGGATTTTCCGGCAACACACCGCCGAGTAGCTTACCGCCGTTGTGTTCATAGGTTAATCTAATCGGAGCGGAGCTTGGATGCGAGGAGTACAGACGGTAACGGATATTTGCTCCCCATACAATTGGTGTCGTTTGTGGGAACTTAAGCAGACACAACCTTGCCCTCCAAGCTCATCGGACCACCTTCCATGGCAAAAAATGATGAAATACCATTGTCTGCCATCGACGGTATTACCCCAGAGTCAGTCCATCAGAGAGACGGACTTCTCGACATTCCGGATATGGCGGACCTGGAGACTTCCACAGGAGGACTTCCAAGAGATGCACATGATAAGTGCGCCAGAAGCTTTGGCCACTCGTAGAGCCCAGATGAACACCGGCGGTGGAGGGAGTCACATGCTCGTCGCCTGGAGCATAAGTTGAGAGACTAAGACGCCGTCATCCGGAGAATGGCGGCAGAGATAGAAGCTCTCAAACGGAAAGTCAAAGGGAAGGGTGTTGCTGGAGTGGGAGACCACAATGACCACACCCAACCCCGCCACTCAGGTAGCTAGAGCCAGCGTCACACGCCCTCCCTTTCCATCACCAGAAGCTATGGGGTTAGAAACTCAGACCCTCTTGCAGAAAAGTCTAACGCACAAGATAGTATCTACTATCCCTCATGTCCGTCGACGACATCTGGATATTCGTACTCCATTCGTTCAGAGGACTTGAGGGACATCCTGAAGAAGCGAGCTCGCCGACGGAAGGTTCAAAGGGTGCCGGCGTTCCAGCTGTTATCCTACGGAGGTCACCACAGTGAGGAGGTCATAATGCCACCGCCCTGCTCAGCCCTGCATGTCCCTTTGGATAAAGATTTGGCAAGGCTGAACGCCACCTCCTTCTCTCTTGAGATAGAGACCACACCGCTCCCAGCAGGCTTTCACCAGCCTAAGTTTACGCTTTACGACGGGAAAAGCGATCCATACATGCATGTAAGCTACTTCTGGCAGGTCATGGCTGGACACCGGCGTAATGATGCCCTCATGTGCCTTATTTTCCCATCGAGTCTGGGCGAGTTGGGCTTGAAATGGTTTCAGAGGCTCCCGGAGGAAAGCATCAAAAGGTGGCAGCAGCTGGCAGAAGCATTGGTGACTCGATTCAAAACCAACACCAAGACGCCCAAGGAAGTGGACCATCTCCTGAGCGTCAGAATGGAGTCAAGCGACTCCCTTAAAGCACACAACGCTAGGTATTGGAAAACCTTCAACGAGATTCTGGATTGCCCGACCAACTTGGCAATCACCCAATATAAGCATGGTCTCTCGGTTGGACATAAACTGAGGGACTCGCTCACGATGAATCAACCGACTTCCATGGGGCAACTGATGTAACGCATCAATGAGCACATTTGAGTTGAGGATGATGTGGTGGCGTCCACTGTGAAGGTAAATCAGGTGGCAACGGACAAAAGGGTGGCTGGGAAAGTACACACGGTCGGACAGGAGACAAACCGTCCAAATGACTGCGCAAGAGAGTTAGACCATGATCCGGATCGTAGAAACCGGACGCCACAGTGACCGAGCAGAATATCCCCGCGATGACGCAACAGATGCGAACAGAAAGTTGAACACTCGAACGGGCATCACCACGGTATTCAAGATTCCAATCTATCGCATACTTAGTGAAATCCACAATGAGGATTACATCTAGTTTCCCGCTAAGTTGGGCGATGCGCAAAAGGGCTTCAATCCGTGGTACCGCTGCACATTTCATAGAGAGCGAGGGCACCGGACGGAGGACTGTTTGCCCTTGAAGCAACACCTGGAGGAGCTAGTCACAGTCGGTCACTTGGACCGTTACATCGATGGGGGCGTTAAGGTCGCGCACTACACCCTGGCCGAGCCGAGTGGTTCGGATGACCTAGAGGCGCCCCCCCAATGAGTAGTCAATGTGATCCACGGAATAGTGGACCCGGCGCGGGTATGCAAGCTCCGAGGGATGATAAAAAAAGGCTGAACATATGAGGGAGGTTCTGTCAGTCCATCCCGCAATCAAAAGAGGCAAGATCGAGGAGACAAATGTGATTAGCTTCTCAAGCAGGGACCTTGAACGTATTCAAACGCCGCACAACAATGACCTAGTGGTCACCCTTCGCGTCAGGGACTTCGATGTTAAACGCATCTTGATCGACCAAGGTAGTTCGGTCGCGATTATGTACTACGATGCCTTCAAGCAGCTCAAACTTTGGGATACAGACTTGGCTCCGGCAACTTCGCTACTAATTGGTTTCAACTCACAACCGGAGTGGCCAATGGGAAAGAAAATCTTACCGGTCAAAGCCGGGTCCGTTGTCAAGCAGGTGGAGTTTTGGGTATTGAAGGTACCGTCCACATACAATTTGATCTTGGGTAGGGGATGGCTTCCCGCCATGCAAGTGGTAGCGTCAACCTACCACCAGCTCATGAGGTTCCCCTCGGATACGGAGGAAGTTGAAGAGATTTGCGGCGATTAAGTCATGTCAAAGCAGTGTTTCATGAAAGTGAATGGGAGTCGAGCTGCCAAAAGCTTCGTGCAAATGATCGAAGGACCGGAAGACCAGAGTGTCCTTGATGATGTGGGCACCAGGGCCGAGGAAAAGGCTGTTGAAGAGTTAGTGGAGGTGCGGATCGACACAGAAAGTTCTGACAAGTTCTTTTTGCTGGGATCTAGCATGACCGCCCAAGAAAGAACCGAGATGGTGGAGTTCTTGGTGGCGAATATCGAAGTCTTTGCATGGACGCCATACGATATGCCTGGCATAGATCCAAGCTTTATTTGCCACCAGCTCAATGTCTACCCGGATGCACATCCTGTCATTCAAAGGACGAGAAGATCCGCCCTTTACCACGCCGAGGTAGTTATAGAGGAGGTCCAGAACCTACTGGAAGCTAGGGAAATCCAGGAAGTGCACTACCCTCTGTGGGTTTCGAACACGGTCGTAGTACCCAAGAAGAATGGGAAGTGGCGAGTTTGCGTTGATTACAAGACGGTTAACCAAGCTTGCCCCAAAGACAGCTTTCCTCTGCCCAGAATAGACCAGCTAGTGGATCTTATAGCCGGACATAACCGGCTCAGTTTCCTAGATGCCTATCACGGCTATCACCAGATCGCAATACATGCACCCGACCGTGAGATCACCTCTTTCACAACTCCGAGGGGATTGTTCTACTATAGAGTCATGCCTTTTGGTTTGAAGAACACCGGGGCAACTTTCCAGAGAATGGTGACCAAGATGTTCGCCCCTCTGCTAGGCCACACGATGGAGGCTTACATCGACGACATGGTGGTGAAGAGCAAGCAGCAGGCCGACCACTTGTCCGACCTAGCCAAGATGTTCGTCATTCTTAAGCAACACAAGCATCGCCTGAATGCGTCGAAGTGTGCCTTCGGTGTGGAATCAGGGAAATTCCTTGGCTTTCTAGTCACCAACCGAGGCATCGAAGCAGACACCTCACAAATCAGAGCCATACAAGAATTGAAGCGGTCTAACTCAGCAAAGGACGTGCAACATCTTGCCGGTATGACAATCGCGCTTAATCGATTCATAAGCCGATCATCAGATTGTTGCTGAGCTTTCTTTTGAGCTTTGAAGTCCAAGTTTTCATGGGATGAAGAATGTGACAAGGCCTTGGGTGAGCTCAAGGCATATATGTCTTCCGCCCCACTATTGGTTACACTTAAGCCCGACGAAGAGCTCTACCTTTATCTTGCTGTCTCTCAACATGCAATTAGTGCGGTACTAGTCCGAGCAGAAGGCATCCAGCAGCTCCCTATCTTTTACGTGAGCAAAACCCTACTACCAGTCGAGTCGAGGTACTTGTCCCTAGAAAAACTTGCTTTGGCACTAATGATGGCTTCCAAAAAATTAGCGCACTACTTTCACACTCACACAATCGTGGTGTTGACCGAATTCCCTCTGAAAGCCTTATTTGAACGGGCGGACTTCTCCGGCCGAATTCTGAAGTGGGCAGTTGAATTGCGGCAATTCGACGTCAAGTTTCAACCCCGTACTGCCATCAAAGCCCAAGCATTGGCCGATTTTGTTGCTGAATTCTCGCCTGGAGTTCACCCGGTATGTCCTGTAGATCTTACCGTGGCAGCCGGGGTAACGAGTGTAAGCACAACGGAAATTGCATAGTGGAATGATATTAGCGACGCAGAACTTGCGTGCCCGTCCGCACAACTTTCAGGCGAAAGTGTACTTTAGACCGACGATGCGACGATGGACTTGGGAATAACAGGTCAACCTGTTGGGACCGACGTAGCATCGCTGAGGGGGGATGAAGACCGATCAGTTGCGATGATCAGCGGCAAGCTAGTAGCAGACATAGCCGGGCAGCCGAGCGATAGTGATCCCATCAACCTTCAAGCCTTCCAGGATCCTTCAGAATGTTAGAAACTTTTCATTGGTGAAATGTGGAAACTTTTCATAGATGGCGCCAGACTGGACATAGTTTTGATCTCGCCGGACGGTGTAACCATCGAACATTCTATCGCACTTGGATTCCTAACATCAAACAACGAGGCTAAGTACGAAGCATTGCTGGCCGGACTTAAAAGTGCACTCCAGTTGCGTGCCTCCGAGCTGATAGTCTACAGCGACTCCCAGCTCGTTGTCAACCAAGTGTTTGGAGTGTATGAGGCCAAAGAAGTCAGAATGGCCAAGTACCAGGCTCTAGTAAGAGAACACATCAAGACATTCCAAGCGATAAGAGTGTAACAAATTGGCCGTGAAGAAAACAACTGCGCAGACGAGTTGGCCGGTCTAGCTTCCATGTTCGACAGTTCAACCCCCAATCCTCTCCTAATCGAGTTTCTTCCAAGACCTAGTATTAAGGACTCAGAACAGACGGAAGTATTCTGCACCGAGCATGGTCCCTCTTAGATGGACCCTATCATCATTTTCCTGAAAGAACGGACCCTTCCAGCAGACAAGAAGGAAGCACATAAAGTCCGGGTGAAGTCAGAGCGCTTTTGGCTCTCTCCATCTAGCGCTCTATATAAGAAGTCATTCACCGATTTATACCTCAAATGTGTTCATCCAAACAGTGTGAAAGCTTCCTATATGAGATCCACGAAGGTATGTGTAGAAGTCACATCAGGGGGAGATCTTTGGACTACCGCGCTATTTCGCAAAGATATTGGTGGCCGTGCATGCAAGCAGATACTCAGAAATATGTTAGAAAATGTGAAAAGTGCCAAAAGTTCGCCAACCAAATTCACCGGCCAGCCAGAGAATTACTCCCCCTCACAAGTCCTTGGCCTTTCGCAATGTGGGGGCTGGACATAGTGGGACCACTCCCAACAGCACTAGGCAACCGAAAGTTCTTCATTGCGGCGATAGATTACTTCACAAAATGGGTTGAAGCTGAGCTCGTAGTGACTATCAAAGAGAAGGATGTTAAACAATTTGTTTGGCAGAACGTGATAACGCGGTTTGGCGTCCCCAAGGCTTTGATTTCTAATAATGACGCCCAATTTGATGGGCGCTTATTCAAAGGATTTTGTGAGGAATTGAGGATAGAATTCTACAACTCCACCCTGGCCTACCCGCAGTCCAATGGCCAAGCCGAAGCATCAAACAAGACCATTCTCGATGGTTTGAAGAAAAAGCTAGAGAAAGCCAAAGGAAATGGGCCGATGAACTCCCTAGTGTCCTTTGGGCATATCGGACGACCCCAAGACGCTCGACCGAGGAAATGCCTTTTGCCCTGGCATATGGCATGGAGGTGGTCATTCTATTGGAAATCGGCATGCCCACCATCCGCAGCGAAAATTTTGAGCCCGAGTTGAACTCTGAAGCAATCGCCCTGGAATTGGACCTGGCTGACGAGTGCCGAGAAAAGGCGTTGATCCATGTGGCTGCATACCAACAAGAGTTGTCCAGGAAGTACAATAAAACAGTGCACCCCAGACCGTTTATAGTGGGGGACTGGGTTTTAAGGAAGATGATGGGCAATACACTAATGCCGGGCGAAAGCAAGCTAGGGGCAAACTGGGAAGGGCTTTACAGGATAACCGGTCTGGCGGGCAAGGGGGCATACCATTTTGAGGACTTGGACGGCAAAAGCGTACCCCGATCGTGGAATACGGCTAACCTCAAACTGTACTATTTTTAGTATTTGTCTTTTATATGTAAATTTTTGTGAAAGGACTTGTTCCCCTTTACTTCTAAATGTAATACTCCATTTGGCAACGTAATAGAAATGAATTATTTCTACTTAGGAAGTTTGTGTGCTTGAAGTAATGTAGTGAATAAGGGGCTAAAAGAGTTGATGGTTTGCTCAACTATGATATTTTAGCCGAGATGATTTACCCGGCTAACAGGGTTGATGGTTTCCTTAACTCTAATGTTTTAGCCGAGATGAATTACCCCGGCTAAAAGAATTGATGATTTGCTCAACTCTGATGTTTTAGCCGAGATGCTTTACCCCGGCTAAAGGAGTTGATGTTTTGCTCGACTCAAAGGTTCTAGTCGAGATGCCTTACCCACGGCTAAAGGAGTTGGTGATTTTCCCAACTCAAAGGTTCTAGCCAAGATGCTCTACCCCGGTTAGAAGAGTTGATGATATGCTCAACTCTTTTGTTTTAGTCGAGATGAATTACCTCGGCTAAAAGAGTTGATATTTTGCTCGACTCAAAGGTTCTAGCTGAGATGTCTTACCCCGGCTAAAGGAGTTGGTGATTTGCCCAACTCAAAGGTTTTAGCCGAGATGCTGTACCCCAGCTAGAAGAGTTGATGATATGCTCAACTCTTTTGTTTTAGCCGAGATGCTCTACCTCGGCTAGAAGAGTTGATGATGTGCTCAACTCTTCTGTTTCAGTCGAGGTGATTTACCCCAGCTACAAGGGTTGATGATTTGCTCAACCCAAAGGTTCTAGTCGAGCTATTTTACCCCGGCTAAAGAGTTGATGATTTGTTCCACCCTGTGGGTCTGGCCGAGCTATTTTACCCTGGCTAGACGAGTGATCTGTTAAATTCTAAATAACTTTCAATTCTTGGTTCAATCAAATTGTAATATGCTAAGCAAGAATAACATGGTCAAATGGAAAACTACAGCAAACGTTGCAAACAAAACGATAGCTTTTCATTGATGGGAAAGTTTGGTACATGAAGTGGGGCTCGTAGCCCGGTTACAAAAACTCAAACAGAAACCAAAAGAAAAGTCTAAACTACGCTAAGTTTTTGCCGAGATGTTTTACCCCGGCTAAGAAAGTTGGTGACTTGCCCAACTCAAAGGTTCTAGCCGAGATGATTTACCCCAGCTAAAAGGGTTGATGATTGGCTTCACTCGAAGGTCCTAGTTGAGATGCTTTACCCCGGCTAAAGTGTTGACGATTTGCTCAACCCTGTGGGTCTAGCCGAGCTGTTTTACCATGGCTAGACGAGTGATCCATTCAATTTTAGATAACTTTCAATTTTCGGTTCAATCAAATTGTAATACGCCGGACAAGAATAACATGGTCAAATGGAAAACGACGGCAAACATTGCAAACAAAACGATAGCTTTTCATTGATAAGAAAATTTGGTACATGAAGTGGGGCTTGTAGCCCGGTTACAAAAACTCAAACAGAAACCAAAAGGAAAAAAGTCTAAACTACTCTAATGGGGAGAGGTCGACAAACTCATCCCCGACTCTTTCTGTCGCAACTTCTAAGTCAACGACAGCAGCCTTTTCCTTGTCGCCGAGCTCTTGCTAGCTACCGTCGTTCTCAGCTTCCATGTTTGCTTCCTCTTGCAAAGCGTTGAAGACTTCGTTGGCATAAGGAATCAGGTAGACTGGGGGAGGAGAAGCAAACACCTCGGTCTCCGCTCATTGACCGAGCTTTTCACAAGCGGCCTTCCAACTGGACTTGAAATAAATGTCCTTGGTGGCCTCAACTTGCTTGCTGTAGTTGTCCTCGACCTCCTGGAAACCGAGATTGTTGGCCTCGTCCACGGCAGCCTTCCTCGCTTCTTTCTTAGCTGCAAGTTGGGCTTTTAATTCGTCTCTCTCCTGCTCGGCCCAACCGAGCTGGCCAAGGAGTCTTGCGTTGTCAGCATTGGCCATTTCGAGCGAAGCTTTGGACCTCCCCAACTCAATTTCTAAATGCTTGACCTGATTGGCCCCATCAGTCACCTTTTACCAGAGCTTGTGAATCCGGTCCATCACAAGATATTGTTTCTGGATGGCCTGCAAGAGGACGCATTAGAGTTCGAATAAAAAAAAATCAACCATGAAAACACTTGAACAAATCTGAATAAAACATGCAGAATTCTTACCCGGGTCATAGACTTAACCGAGGACTTCACGAGCTGGGTGTCGGGCACGTGGTCGCTGCCGGTTACATCGCTCGGCAAAAGTAGTGCTTTTGTTAGGTCGAAAGCTAAGAGATGTTCTTTATCACCTTTGATTGAGGTGTTGGCTGGGATCTCCTTACCTCGGTGCTTCAACTGCGGCTGCCATGGTGGCGTTGGCTTAGAAGCATCCGCTGGTTGCTCGGTGCTTAACTCCGCAACGAGCTCGGCTGTTGGGTCGGCGGACCGAGGCCTTTTCCCGGTTCGGCGACTTTCCTTGCTGGTTTGTGCTGTAGTGGTCGACGCTAGTGCGATCATGGTTCCAGTTGTTGGACCGGTAGCGGACGCACGGGGGGAGGACGCTCGGCAACTCAGTAGATGTGGCGGTGATGAGATTCTTGATTCGGCTCTGTTTGGCCATCTCCTCTTCCTCGGTTAGCCAGATTAATGGCACGTTCAGTAGTGTTGGATCGGGCGGTGGGGACGGTGCTCGTAGAAAATTTGTGACTCTACTTTTGAGGGGAGCCGAGTACTGGTAGCTCAGTATGTAACCAAGAAGATCGTGGCAATCTCGGTTACGGTACCGCAGGACGGCTCTGATGGCAGCCTCATTTGGGTTGAAGTAATTCGCTTGCAAGGCTTCGATAGCTGCAAGGAAGAAAGCAATTAGTACAACATAGTAAAGAAAGGTAACTTGATCGGTCAGCGGTCAGTGAGCACGGCTTACATGTCGAACCAAAGTTCTTGCTGATGTACTAGCCGGGCACATTAGCCATTTCATAATTCCCAGATACCCAAAAAAATTCATCGTCGTGCATATCTTTGTCTGGGGTGCCGATGACAAGCTTTTTCTTGCTCGGTCTAATCTTCAAGTAGTAATTAAGCCCGTCGCCAGTATGCCCGAGGGTGTATTGTCGTAAAATCTCGGCCAATCTTAGGTTCAGGCCAAGCCGGTTGTTTAGCTCGGCTACGTCGTTTATTATTCTGAAGGTGTTGGTTGAAACTTATGTTGGCGCTAGCTCGGTGTGCCTCAGGAACTCACACATTAGAGGTTAAACCGGGAAGCGTAGGCCGCCTTCGATTATGGAAAGCACGGTGAAGGGGCATTGGTCCAGTCTGCCCCATGAAGTGGTGTCCTCTGCACCGAGCTCAAGATGTACGTCTATAGGGACGCCATATTCTTCCCAGAACGCGGCTAGTGCGCCCAGCGTGTTAACGAGGAAGTGGTAACGCCCCATGTGAAGCCGACCTGTTTCAGCACGGCGGTATTGGTTTGGCAAAGTTTCATGCGTTGGCTGCTCGGCCGTTGTGAGCCCTAGTGTTGGTGTCTGGTCCCCTAAGACTGCAGTAAAAGTCAAGTGTGAGTGGCAGCGTGGTCGCGCAAACGAGCTCCACTTTAGCTCGGGCACAGGAAGTGCAGCAGTACCTCAGTCATAATTGT